TTGATTAAATGAAATTGAAGTTTTTTCACAGATAAAATCAATGCAGTTAAAATTAAAAGGGAAACCATTAACATTTAAGGGAAACATTAAACGTATCTCGTCAGTGAGTTTCTCTGATAACGTTCTGATACCCGAGGTATAAAAGGAATTGATAGAAATATATAAACAAAAGCCATTCTATAATAGATATATGGTCAAAGGATAGAAACAGGCGATTTTCAAAAGAAGTTCAAGCTATCAACAACTATATTGGAATGTTCAAAATTACTTATAATATTTTTGGCAAATGTAAAATTACAAAACTGAGTTGCTGTCTCAAACCTACAATTCACAAAAGTGACCAGAAAAAAAAAGGAAAATGACTGTTGTTGAAGAGACTGTAGAAGTGCAGGCACCCCAAGCCACTGCTTGTGGAGCCGTGAAGTGGTTCAAGCAATCTGGCACGCGATTTGGAACTGTACCCTCCAGATCACTAAACTGTGCATATCCCTTGGTTCTATTATTAGGCTTATCCTCCCAAAGAAATTAAAGACAGAGAGAAGTGACCCAATTGTATATATTGTTGTAATGAAATTGAAACAACGAAGGTGCCCAATAATTGAGAAATGTCTGAACAAATTATGGTATAAGGACGAATATTATTCTATTTTAAGTGATGATGGAAGGGCAGGCTTCAGAGAAACCTGAGAAAATTTATACGAATTGATGCATAGTAGAGTGAGCAGAACTGGGGAAAAAAACTTTTAAGATAACTTAACTTTGTAAAGAAAGATATCTATGAAAGACCTGAGAATTAGGATCAACAAAATGACCAATTTATGACTTCAGAAGACTGATAATGAATTATATTTTTCAACTGTTGGCAGAAAAGTAATGCCCTAGGGAATACACAGAATGACATATGCATTTTTCAGATACTGCCAATGTATTAATTTGTTTTGCATAATTGTATTTATTTGTTATAGGGAGAGCTTTTATTTTTCATTTTTGGAGGGGAATATTTAAGAAAGAAGGTTGATTAGGTAGAGTATAATCGGAAATGGGAAGAAAAGAACAGTGAATCACTGAAAATAAACATAGAATAGAATTATTATAATATATTTTATTTATATTATATTTATAATAGAAATTCTGAAGGAGGACACAAAGAAGCAGAGCAGTATTGAAACTACCATGTTAAATTTGAATAGTTCAAAACAAAAACAATAACCAAGATGTACATAATGGGAAAAAAACAATCTTATCGATCTGTCTAAAGCATAAAACAGAAGTTTGAAGTTTAATATACAGTCTTCTTTTTGTTTTTTCTTTATATATTGAAATGTTTCCATGTTTCATGTTTATTGATGTTGATCAAATTCAAAATAAAAATATTTACCAAAAAAAAAAAGCTTCAATTGCCTTTTACTCTTAAAGATCCCTCTATCGCAAAACCCCTTCCTCTTTCTCATTGGTAAATTCTTTCTGGAACTTATATTTGATGGAAGGAACAAGAGCGACCATCCTTCATTCCTTTCCTGGCTTCACTTCTGATTCTTCAAACTTCACCACCATGCTCCTGCACAAGTACTTTTTCCTCCCACCCAGATTTTCAGCTTCCTTTTATGTGTTGTCTTTCCCCATTAGAATGTAAGCTTCTGGAAGGCAGGAACTATCTTTCTTTTTGTTTTATTTTTATTCTCAACACAACATAGTGCCAGCCACATAGTGAATGCTTATTGCCTGTCTTTAAAATCCTGAAGAAACAGGTAAGAGGCAAGTTGTAAAAAACCTTTAGTGATAAGCTAAATAATTTGCATTTTAATTGGGACACTAATGTAGTAATGTAGAGTTGTGAACCAATCCAATCATTTTGGAGAGCCATTTGGAACTATGTCCAAAGCAATAACAAACTGATCCAGTAATACCACCACTAGGTCTGTATACCAAAGAGATCAAAGAAAAAGGAAAGGGACCTTGATATATGAAAATATTTCTAGCAGTTCTTATTGTGGTGGCAAAGAATTGGAAATTAAGAGAATGCTCAGCCATTGGGGAATGGCTGAACAAGTTGTGGTATATGATTGTAATGGAATACTATTGTGCTATAAGAAATGACAAGAGGGATGATTTCAGAAAAATCAAGAAGGACTTACAAGAACTGATACAGAGTGAAGTGAGCAGAACCAGGAGAACACTGTGCACAGTAACAGCCACATTGTGTGATGAACAACTGTGAATAACTTTGCTATTCTCAGCAGTACAATGATCCAAAGCAATTCCAGTGGACTCACGAAGAAAAATGCTTTCCACCTCCAGAGGAAGAATTGATGGAGTCTGAATGCAAACCAAAGCATACGCTTTTTCACTTTTTTGGGGGGGTGGAAGAGGTCGAGTTTTCTTCCACAAAGTGACTAATAGGGAAATATGTTGTATATGATTGCACATGTATAACCTATATCAGATTACTTACAGTCTCAGGGAGGGGGAAGGAGGAAGGCGAAAGAGGGAGGAAGAGAATTTGGAACTGAAAATTTTTTTTTTAAATGTTGAAAAAAAATTTTTACAGCTAATTGGAAGAAAAAGATAAAATACTTTTAAAAAAAAACAAAAGAAAAAGATTGTAATAAGGGGGTAAAAAAGAATTTGCATTTTATCCTAGAGGCAGTAGGTAGCTGAAAGTTTGTTTTTTTTTTTTTTAAATAGAGGAATTACATGGTCAGATTTATGCCTTAGAAGGAGTATTTTGAAATCTCTTTAAAGGATTGATTGAAGAGAGAAGAGACTGAAAGTAGAGAGACCAATTCAAAGTTAGGTTCAGGTAGGAAATGGTACGGGTTAAGAGGGAATCAATTTTAGGCATGATGAACTACGTATGCAAAGGCATAATTATGGGAGATGGAACTTAAGGTTCAGAGAACTGTTAGAATACCTACCTATTGTTCTAGCTACCTATTGTATGTGTGCTTTGCTGCAATTGGCCAGCCACCTTCTGAGAAGGAGTCCACAATAGAAGGGAAAATGGAAATGCATATGGCTGCCTACTGGAAAAAACCTGTTGGGATGAAAATTTTCAAAGCTGCAAAGAGAGAAGAAGGAAATGGAAGGAGATGAGGAAGAAGAAGGTCTGGTCATAAGGAGTAAGAGAAAGAAAATAAAGAGGAGGAAAGAATTTGGACCTAACCCCACCACCACCGCTCACCTTGATACTAAAGCATTTAGTCTGCTATAGAAAACTCACTCCTTTTAAAGAAAAAAATTAAAATAAGAAAAAGTTTGTAGAGTGACATATCACAGGTGCTTTCTGACATCCTGGGGAAATAAGTGAATTTTCCAGATAACTGAAGTTTGCCTCTGTAAGTCTTGTGACTTCTAAATTTATTTTAAAACGAAGCTTCTACAATGTATTACATACTTTCTGTCTGCTCAAAAGGACTAATATAGGACATAATGTAACTTTTTTGACAACTGAGTCATTATAAACATCAGTTATTGTGCTGTACTTTAATGTGCTCAGGGTCCATTGAGGCTGTTTACCTCTTAACTAAAGGGCCCCAAACTTCGTGAATTCTTGTGTTTGATATAATGTCCCTTCTCTCACTTTTAGGCTGAATTTCTCATTTGCAGCTTTTTGTGTCCTCTGGTCTGGAAAGCTGAATCATTATTACATAATATAATTTTATGAGAAAGAATAAAATAGGCTCTGCGTGAGAGTCTGAGGGGCTCTCATATAAGGAAAGTATGTGAGTTTTAGTGTATGGGCTTTTTAAATATGAGTTTTGGTTGTGTAGAGGGTGTTCCAAGTAGTTGCTAAAGAAAGTGAGCTTTGAGTAAAGAAAGCACATCATAGAGCCCTCAAATTGAGTTCAGACACTGGATTTGCCACCTACTCTTTTTATGACTTTAAATGACCTGTGTCACTTAATGTCCCTAGCCTTTAGTTTCTTCATCTATAAAATGATGGTACTGGATCAGATGATGTTACCTACAGTCCCTTTCACCTTTAAGTCAATGATTGTAGGATCCTGAGAGACATGTTACTCTACAGAAAAACGTTTGTTTGGGGAGAAAAGTGGAAAGTTGAATTCAAATGTGAACTTAATTAAAGACAGACTTCCTGACTTGGAGTCAGGAAGTTGTTGAGTCATTTCAGTTGTGTCCAACTCTTTGTGACCCTATTTGGAGTTTTCTTAGAAAGGAAAGTAGTTTGCCATTCCCTTCTCCTGCTCATTTTACAGATGATGAACTGAGGCAAACAGGGTTAAGGCTCTTGCCCAGGGTCACACATCTAGTAAGTGTTTAAGGCCAGATTTGAACTCACAAGATGAATCTTCCTGATTCTAAGCCCAGTGCTGTATCTGCTTTGCCACCTAGTTGCCCCTGGAGTCAGGAAGACATGAGTTCAGCCCCTTCAGACAATCCTTAGGTGTGTGACCTGTAACTCAACTTAATCTCTTTGAGCCTTAGTTTTCTCATCTGTAAAACAAGGATAATTGTAGCACCTACGTCTGAGAGTTGTTGTATGAATCTCGTGAGACAGTTTATCTAAAGTGCTTTGCAAATCTCTCTCTCTCTCTCTCCATATGTGTATATATGTATATATATATATATATATATAATATTATTGTAATCACCTTCACCAAGAATTTCCATAGTGGAGGGGAAATTATGATGTTTTTAGGAGTTAGAATCATATCATCTTAGCATTGCAAGAAAATTTCAAAGACCTAGTCTAATCCTATTATTTTACAGATGAGGAAACAGAGTCCTAGAAAGATTAAACATCATGAATAGGATGTCAGGAAAAACACAGAAATGCACCAATAAATGTTAATCTTCTCTAGCCTTGCCCATTGTAAAAATTTTCAAATTCCAGAAAAGCACTTAAAGAAATGCCCTTCTGCAAACATAGCAAGCATAGTTGGAAGGGGAATTCAAAATGAGAACTATTTTGTTTACTTTTCACTAGCCTTCCTAAGTTCTATTTGTTTTTTTCAACTCACCCTATTTTGTTCTTTTAGGTTAGCTCCATACAGAACCAAATGCAGTCTAAGGGAGGTTATGGAGGTGGAATGTCTTCAAATGTCCAAATGCAGCTTGTAGATACAAAGGCAGGATAACCTTGGGAGCCCTTTCCAGTAAGTATCTCAGGTCTTGTTATACCTCAGAATTAAGAGATGTACAGGCTCTGTTACCACCAGAAAATACTGAAAGTACCATTTATTTGGTACTTACTATTTGGAGAACCAATTCAATTGAATAAATGTTGATTAGCAAATTAGTAACTGAACCTAATTATTTTTAATCCTTGAGTTCTAATAAAAGGGGTATATTTATATGGCATTACATCTTCAATTATGCAAAAATTGGTGCTGACTGACAAAATTATGGTGATTGAGGGCAATTAAGATACCAATACTATCATTTATAACATCTGCTCTTTGCCATAATTCAAAATTTGACAGTACTAATGGGGAAATCTAATTTAACCAGAGGCTTTGGTCCATTCTTCCTCCCCCCCGCCCAAGTACCTTTAGTTAATTGATGTACTATTAAAAATGTATCGAGGTTTTAAAAAAAAAAAGATTGCTGAGTACTTATGCTGTATGAGCTATGTAAAACCCAAAGAAATAAATTTGTTTTCATTTTTAACTGTCTTGTTTTTTAACTTTGAAATTGTGAGCTTCTCAAAATTAAAACAAAAACAAAAGCCCTGAGTGTTCTCTTAATAATAACAATAATAATAATATTGGAAATAACTTGGATTTTTTTCTTGTCTTTACAGGTTCGCGTGAATTTCCATATCTCTTCTTTCTACTGTTTTGTTTTTGTTTATTTGAAGTTTTTTGGTTTTTGGAATTGTTTTGGTTTGGGATTTTGGGGGGTAGGGGGCCCTTGAGACCACTTTCCATGTTATTTTAAGAAAGAAATGTGATGGGACCTTGTTCAACCTCTTGTGATTATTTCAGTGAAAAGTTACTGTTATGCTCCAAAGAAGCTGTGTGTAAAGTGAATCTCGTCATGCCTTCCACTGGCATGCATGTGTTTGGCTTCTACCAAAATAATTGTTAAGTAATAGGCTGGGTTGTGATTTTATATTTTAAATATTTTTCAAGTTTGAATAAATAGGCAACTGATTTTAGCATGGCCTTTTTCTCTAATCACTACTATACAGCATTAGTTTGCCAATTTTTTCATTTAAAAAAAAAAGTCCTTTTCTGTCTCCACCACCCTTCTTATTGTAATTTTAGGTCCCAAGCATGACATGTTATCATTTTTTATTTATATATTTGGGAAAGTCTGGGACCCACAAGCACAATGACCATTTTCCCATTTGTTTGAAGCCTGGCAGAGTCAATGCCTGGCTTTAGGAAGTCGCCTCTTTGGTGCCAGAAATAAAAATTGCTCAGTTGCTGCAGCTGATGTTGCTGCTAGTGGAGAAAATTTAAGTATGGCACTACAGTGATGTCCGTATCTATCACCGAAAAAGATAACTTGTTACTTAGCTGCTTTTAGACAATGTCCCTTTTAGTTCTATTTGATCTTGAAATAAAACAAAAGCTTGCATTCATAAGACATTCTGTTGTAAATGTTTAGTATATTTATTTTAAGAGAACTGACCTCAAGATTGTAAACTTATAGTAACATATGTAAATAACGAACGTATGATAGTACTTTTCATCCAGTCAGTTTTCAAGCGGTGTTGCGCTAGCTGCACATTTCTTTTTCCCTTCTCTTCCTTTTTTTTATGTTGACTCTTAGACTGTCCATCAGCAGAATGTTGAACTGCCTGGCTGTGTTATTAATAGCAGTTCAGTGGACTTCTTAACATAGTTGGCAGGGTTTGTTTTTTTTTTTCTAAGTGTTTCCAGGCCATGTTAAGTTGCCAATGGCAACATATTGACCTGGCAGAACAGAAACTATTGAAAGCAACTTACAGGGTGACTTTTTACTGTTGGTAAGAAACCTTTTGCTCAGGTTCCAAAGCATGTTCATCTTTCACAATTTGTGAAAAGTAAATTTGAATATTGCACTGTCTCCAAATTCTTGAAATGATTCCTTTCCCATTCCTTATCCCCACTCCTTATCCTCATGGTAATTTTCAAACAAAGTCAATGATTTGATTCTCTGTTGATTTTTTTTTTAAATCGTTCACAATTCACTGCTATCCATGTTTGTCTGATTCAGTTATCTAGCTATAGGGCAAAATTGAGCTTAACCAGAGTGTCATGAACAAGTTGGAAATCAAACAAATGCAAAGAAGTAAATTTTTATACTGTTCATATTTCCCCTTCACCTAACCCTCAGTTCTCTCTGAAACAACAAATTAAATAAGTGCTAGATGTATGAAGACCCTGCATATTATCTTTGCCCTGGTAATTTATAAGTTGATTCACTGGAAATGAAATAGCCACCTGATTATACTTCCATACTTACACTGTACCTGTAGAGTGGTCAAATGCAGTATATTGGGTGAAGAGAACCAGAAGAGGACCAGATGGTTGATTCTTAGGATTCATGATTTCAAATGGTCCCCAAGATCCTTTCCATTAATATAATTTGCTCCTTAGAATTTGACACGAGAAAATATTGTCATTTTGGAAACAGCAATCTTGTGTTCATTTGATTTGATGATCCAGTTGTCCGTCTATGACTGCCACATTGACCTTGGCATTTTTTTCCATAGCACTATTTGGCATACTCAGCTGTGCTGTGCATTGTCATTTCATATAACGTTGTCAGAGTGCGTGCACTTTAAAAGAGCAATGCTTTTGGCAACAAGTAATAGCTACATTCCATTTACTCTGCTTCTACTGTTTTTCTTACAAGTACTGTTGAAATTCTTCAGGCACATCAAGCATAGTGCATGCAGTGCAGTACTCTCTGGGCAAAAGGCTGCCACTTAGGCAGGATGAGCGGCACTGGCAGCACATCATGCCCCCTCTTGCTCCCTCCAAGTTGAGTTAGAACAGCAGGAGGAAGCTAGGTCTCTATCGTCATTGGCTCTTCAGCATCATAGGTTTTCTTCCTTTGATGTCAAGATAGACATTTGGGTCAATCTTCTGTCCTGTTCCTGTTGTTGTTCAGGCGTATCTGACTCTCCTTGACCCCATTTGGGGTTTTCCTGGCAAAGATACTAGAGTGGTTTGCCGTTTTCTTCTCCAACTCATTTTACAAATGAGGAAACTAAGGCAAACAGGGTTAAATGACTTGCCCAAGTCACACAGCTAGTAAGTGTCTGAGGCGGAATTTGAACTCAGTCCCCCGACTCCAGACCCTGTCACTCGCTCCACTGCGCCACCTAGCTGCTCGTAGAGCCATTCCTGACTCAAAGGAATAAATGTTCCAGAAGACATAATGTGAGCTTCCATTGATGAGCAAGAACTGAATTTTTCATTCCTTATCTTTCTAAACTGTCGTATGGCCTCTCCAGTGATACTATTAAAATATTGTCTATGTTTGTCACGGGGAGGAGATTTTACAATTAAATCATGTGATCAGAAAACTCCCTAAAGTGTTGAACCACATTTTCTGGAGTTTCTTGATACCTGGGAAGAAAAATTAGAAGCATTATAAAGTTTTGAGGCTGGCTTTAATTAACTAATTGGTTGATCAGTTAAGAGTTTTAATGCATTTTAAAAGGTGATATAATTATGCCTAAGGGACATTTTTCCTGTGGTAAAGCATTTCCTTCTAAAATAGAAACTAATCAAAAAATAGAGCCCACTTACCCAAAATTTAGTTTCTAGTCAACTTCAATGAAATGCATTCTTTTTTGATTGAGGAATAACAGTTGTAGATTAACTCACATAGTATTTGACAGCAATGATTCAGGCTTGAAATGGTGCCAATATATGGAAAGCAGAATTACTGTGGTTCAGTGATTGAGAGTGTTGAGGGGAGGGGAATTCAAAAAGAGAAACCAATATTTCCAACACAATTTTTGTCATTGGGCCTTTCAAAAAAATGTTTTGTGATTATAATTTTTTTTTTTGCTTTTGCCATCAATTATCAGTTAAAGCAGATTCAAAACTTGCTCTCATCAGATGTCCTCTGCTCAGCATCCAGAAAAAAAAAATTGGGATATTTTTATAACATACTTTATAGCATACTTTTTTTTTGTAAACTATTTTCATTCTTGAATGATGTCATTCCCATGTTGGCTTGTAGATATTAAAATGAAAGTAATGACTTTGATTCAATAAATGTTTTCTTTTGGTTTCTGGTTTACCTTTTCCATTCTTTTCATGCACTAATGTTCATATATATGACTTTTTACAAGTGAGTTTCTTATCCTTTCATTTTACAGCCACTGTCATTAAAAACCTGCTTAGCAGGTTTTTTTTTCAATATATCTTTTTTTCTGTGTTCTCCCCCCCTCAAAAAAAAAATCAGACTTGATGTTAAATTCTCATTAGAAATGGGTTATTACTTCTATAATTAAGAAGTAACATCTTGAAGATGGGAAAACCTGGATTCAAGTCCTACTCCTAACCCATACTTGCTAAGAGACCCAGAGCAAATCACTTAACCTCTCAGTGCTCAAGGCAGACAGTTCTCTTATACTTTTAATTGCAGAGAAGGTACTGACCTGCATTGATAGATGGAGTCTCCTCATCCTAGAGTTTCCTATACCAATGAAATCACAAACTAGCCCTTTCTCTAACACTAAACATAGGTAAATGTTAACCCCACCTACACCCTCCTTTTTCATGTGGAAACTTATGTGGCTAGCAGAAAAGACTTGACAGGTCTTGGGACATCTGCCAAGTCTGAAGGGCTCAGACCCTACATGAGTGAGCCTTTTATGCCCTCAGATTACTAAGAAGTCACTTCAGTATAGTCAGAAGCTACTAAGAAACTCTCTCAAAGTAGCCATAGCTTAATCCTTGGTCTCTGGGCCAATAGATTTCTGGAAATAGCTTTGTTATCTTTCAAGGCAAAACTAGCCTGATCCATGTTGCAGAGGATTAGAGGGTGGGAGGTTGATCCTGGTTGATAGTGGTCCAGTGAACTGGTTAGACAAATTCTGAAAAATATATGGGGGTTTTAGCGGACTGCATTTCACTGTGAGTCAGTATTGTGGTATGGCAACCAAGAAATGCTAATACGATCTTGGGCTGCGTTGAATAGGATATTTGTGTTCTAGGAATATGAATGTGATATTCCCATTGAACTCTGACCTCACCTCACTTGGCTTCATTTGTTGCTAGACCTCATTGTTTTAATTTCTGGGCACCATGGTATAAGACGCATGTTGACAAGCTGGAGAATATCCAAGGAAGGAAATTGGGATTGTTAAAGCCCTTGAATCCTTGTCATATGAGGACTGGTTAAAGGAACTAGGTGTCTTCAGCCTAGAGGAGAAAAGGACTCAGAAGGATCATGATAGCTATCTCAAATGTTTGAAGGAGTGTCATGTAGAAGATGAATTAGATCTGTTCTATTTGCCACCGGGGGGCTCCAGGAAGAATAGGTAGTAGTTGCAAAGAGAGAAATTTAGGCTTGATTTCAGGAAAAACCCCTGAAACAAAGACGTCCTAAAGTGACATGATCTGCCTGGAGAGGTGGTGGGTTCCCTCCCCTTGGATGTGTTCAAGTACAGCCTAGGCGGTCACCTGTTAGGTATGTTATAATGGAGATGGCTTTGTATATAGTGTGGAGTACGTGTCCATTAAAGTTCTTCCAACTGTACCACATACAAATTGGGACCTCCATAAGATGGTAATTTTTTGATAATGGGGAATGAAAATTATCTTGGAGTTTATAAAAAGTGTTAATAAGTGAATAAACTATTGTATAGAGAAGCAGTGATACATAGAAAAG